ATCTCCCAAACTCATGCAGCAGCAGAAGGTTGTTGCCCCTGACCATGTTGTATTGTCAGTGGAACATCTTCCCTAGAATTTTACCACTTAGTGAAACTACACGGTTTTGCGCCAAAACACTTGTGTTCACACCTAAAATAAACCCTAAACTTACAGTTCGTGATGGTTGTTTCCTAGCATGCCACACACCCTTTTGCGTCACTGCTCACGGTGGACCTGTTGTCTAAACCAACCTCTGCTTGTCTGCCTGAGACCACCTCATCTTTCAGAATGCATTCAAGGGCCATCTTCCATGCCCACTTCTTCATACCCTCTCCCTCCTCTGCACCTGGAGTCAGATGGGGTTCCAATTCTGACTCTGTGCTTACCGGTTCTGGAATCCTGGGAAATTACTTCTCTGTGTCTTGTTTCCTCACCTACAAAACAGGGCTAAAATATTCACTACTTCATCAGACTGCTGTAAGTATTGAGAGAGAGAGAGAAAGAAGAGTGAGATCTGCGAACACCTTGCAGCAGTGTCTGGCCCACAGTAAGTACTGCACAATGTCAGCCACTGTATGTTTAGCACTACGTCTGAGACTGGTTTCTCTCCCACCACATACTTGGTTCTTTCTAATGTACTAGGCAATGATCTGACCCAAAGACAGTGTTGAAGAATGGCTTGTGAAATGAATGAATGAATCAATGGGCAAACCAGGTCCAGGGGAACTGCCAAGACTCTGCAGTCATCTCATTCGACCACCCCAGGCCAATCACACTACACTCTGCCTTCCCCTGGTCACTGGACTGGATCCCCTCATGAAATGATGGCGGACAGGAGGATTTGCTCATTTCCCACAAACATGACAAAGGACATATTTCTATACCTCTGGTCTGCTCCTGACACTCTAGGTGTCTCGTTCTATCACCAGAGTATGCAGAGCACTGCCATTGTCCCATTACGAAACTATTCTCCTCCCAGGTGATGGAGGATAGTTTATGACTTATACCTCCCACGAAGGGATGACTTCCTCATTCATCAGGTCTGTTTCCTGCCTTGGCCTTCAGAACTCCCTGAAAATCTACTACAGGAACTTACTGACTGTGCCCAACCTCCCAGAAGTCACCGAGGTCACCTCTAGGGAAGTGACAGAACACCATTCCCACTGGCTTGGAGACCTCCAGCCATGGCTCCATGGGGACCAGAGAGCTATCCACCTGCAGCTTTGTCATGCTGGAATGGCAAGGGATTTGACAAATGAAATGGCAACAGCTGTTCTTGTTGCCTTCAAAGCATCAAGTCACCAGAGCGCCATGAGAAGTACTTTTGGCAAATGTTGGAGTTCATCTCCATCATCTGCACTCAGAGCCTCAAAGCTTAACCATTTTCCTCACTCACTCTTTCCTCCCGTGCCATGAGCCACATGGGTCAGCTCTGCTTACTTCCAGACTACAGGTCTCCTTGAGAATGGAATAAACAAACCTGTTTTCACAAAGCTGGGTGACCGTAACTGCTTATTTTTCACACTGCTTAGTTTTATTACCTGCAAGACACTGTATATTGAAATTCCAGATGTCTGGAATATTTAAAATTTGATCCTTCCTTTGCAAAGCAGGACACATCAACTTTCAAAATTCTAGTGATGCAGAGGCCTTGGATTTGTCAATATCTGAGCCTCACCTCTTCTGACACCGGGAGTGGTGATGAAGCTCCTCATTAATTCTGTTTGAACAAGTGTAACAATGGCCTTCTGAGGCTTGGGGCAAAGGCCTAGTTCTTCAGACACATGGAGAGCTTCAGACTTTAAGGAGATCTTATCAGTGAACATATTTGATGACTGCTTAGCTGTCTTATATCAGATGATTGATTAGACTACTAGGAGAATCCTAAACCTCAGTTCTCAACTGAGGAAATAAAATCATGTCTGTCATCCTCTGGGATTATGAACCTGGCCATGGAAGCCTGTGTGCCCTGGTTTGGGGCAATAGCTTGGGATTCTGCTTGGCCATGACCTGCCAAAATGGCCTGTGGCTGCCCTGAGGAGTTGTTGCTGAAAGTTCAACTTCTCTCCCGACATCCTTCCTGAGGCCCAGGAACCACTCCTTGGGCATCACTGGTCTTCTGTGCCCCTACATTTCAGCACACCTCACTGGAATGGCAGCGTATGACCCCCACTGGTCTCATTCGCAGCCCGTGAACACTGCCTTAGAATGGAGGCCACAGTCACCTCCACACTGAAGACCAGTGCCCAGCACACTGCCAGAAATATGGAACAGGTACATTCAAAGTGTCTTGATCCAATCAATGAACGGCTAAGTGAAGTAATATGAGGTGAAAGAAGGAAGAGATCAAATAGCTGCTGCTGCCCCCAGTTGCATGTGTCGAGGAACTAAAGTAGTGCTAGGTAGACCCAGAGTGAGAGAAGAAAGCCTGATGTCTTGCTATAAGTGGCTTCTGCACATGAAACAGTGAGGCACACATAGTTGGTGCTCAACAAATCATAACAATAAATACTGTACAGGCAATTTCTGTCCTCAGACCCTGTGCTAAGTCCTTTCCATGACTGATTCAATCCTTGCACTGAACGCTACAAGGAGCTGGTACCGTTTATTTCAAAGTGAATGAAAGATGGATGATACCAGTGATGGCAGGAAAGATGTGACCCAATTCCTATCAGTACTACCATTCTTACATTCCTACTGACAGGGTGGCAGAGTTTTGCAGTGAAGCTTGTGGATTCTCCAATAAACTGCCTGGGTTCAAGTTCCAGTTCTGCTAAGTGTTGTGTGAAGCTGGGTGATTTGTTTCAATTACTTAGCCTCTCTGTGCATTGCTTTCTCCTGGAGACAGTGACAACGTACAGGGATTGTTGTGAGATTGCTCAGGAGATATGAGGCACTGAAATGGTGCCTGAGACACTGCTCTGGAACATCCAATCCCAGAAACGGTTTCTTGGGTTCACGGTAGGGAGAGGGCTCTACATTTCTTCCATCTTTGCAATCTTCATGGGCTGAAATCAGAGGGCTGTAGGATGCAGGGACCTGGTGGGTCTTGACTACAAGTGCAAGTCAGGTATATACAGACAACTATGAGAGGTGGGGGAGAAGGATGGAAATTTAATATTTGCTAATCTATGTTCAAGACAGGTAGCAAATTAACTAAGACTGTCCAAGATCTTACCATAGGGTTAGTTACTATGTCTGGAATAGTCTCCAAAATTCCAGATCCCTAAGGGGACTAGCTGAGGATGCAGAGAAGACCTTCATCTGCCTGAGAAGGGGCACCTTCACTCTTTTCACCTAAACCTCTTCCAGATGAGATAAAACGCAGCAATGTGGAGCAGCCGTCTGGATTCTGTACACAGAACAACGTCACAGACCCTGCGATCCACTGCACCATGCAGCCTCTGCAGCAGGGCCAGCTCTGAATTCAGAGCCCAGGGGTTTGAGAGGACACAGCCCCAGGTGCACTAGCTGGCAGCACCCAGATGTTACCTACATTGCCAGGCACGCTTTGGTCTCAGTCTGCGCAGAGAAAAGTAGGCTGTTCAAGTGTGCCAGGGCCATCAAAATGGCAGGGGGGGGATGGGATGAGTGGTGGGGAGGGAAGCTGATTCTAGCTTTCTCCAGGTCTGGATTTGGCTTCAGGGCATCTAGGTTACAGTTAGAATCTTCTCCCTCTACCCAGGACAAGGACCTTGTTGAAAGTTCCTTCTCATCAAAGATTTCCTCTGGCCCGACTGACTTGACTTTCCAACTGACTCTTCTTCTCAGCCCTTCATGTCCCTGCATTATCCATTCCGTATTCTCTCTGATGGAAGTATCTTCCATGGCCCGCCATCTTGTGTACCTTATGCATTCTTTCCCACTCCATCTGCCCCATGAAGCCTTCTCTGACTGATTATTCTGAGGTATCTCTGTTTAGTGTTCCCATAATTCCTTCTGGAAACTTCTATCATGGTTTTTACCACTGTCTGAATAATTTCCTCTCTTTATGGGTCTCCCCTCATAGGAGCAAATTTCTTGATAGCAGGCACTATGGTTTTCATCTTTATACCTTCAGTGTCCAGAAGTATGTGAGTGATTTGGAAGAATCTTTCCAAATCATTAATTCACAGAAGAGTCAGCCTGGCCAAAGCATGCCAGCACTTAACAGGTGTAAAATGGTTGTACATGGAGGATAGTGAGTTCGAAACAAAATTCACAAACGCACACTTCACTGAAGACGAAGAAGCAACAACATAAATTCTGCGATGGGGTGGATGACTCTAGAGAGTGAACTTCTGTACAAGGAAGGACACAATACCTCAGAGGCTAAGGGCTGTGGAATGTAGCCCCTGCCTGCTCATGGATTCTGGAGGACCATGCTTATTTTATAAATTAATTCATATGGTTCACCTGAACCCAGTCACTATAATTCCATCCTAAAAACTGGTGCAATGTAACCCTGTTTTAGAATGAATATGGAGGCTCTGAAATTTTGGCTAAAACACTCAATTTTTTAAACAAAAATTTATATCCAAAGAAGAGAAACCTATTTCATGCCACTCAGAGAGTCCCTAAGTAGCCTTAGAAATGTCTGCACTGAAGCACTCAGTTGAATTTCTTCTAGAGGGTGCTTGATTCTCCTCAGGGGGATGGGTCTGGGGTGTAGCCATGGTCAGTAAACCCAACAATAATGCATTAGAAACCCTAGACAACCCCAAGAACCACAACTACTAGCACCACAACATTCTATGAAACAGAGACACTGCTAGCCTTTGAATAATTAATTCCAAGAGTCACGCCAATGAATAGAGAAAGCTGAACCCTGCCAAATTCCAGGTTTGATGTTTTGTTAATTAAACGTCATCTTCCATTGAACATACACAAACATATGCATGCATGCACGCACACACATCATGGCACAGAACACTCTCTTGCTATATTACATCTCATTTTAACTCCTGGGTTCAAGATGCCCGAAAGCCTCTGAAGTGCTTTTCAAGCTTAACCAGGAAATAGAATCATTCTGGTCTTACCCTGAGGTAGTTGAGGGTGAAGTTTGTGAGACCCATCCTGGTGATGTTTTTGGACAGCTGATCCAGGACCTGAGGATCTTGTGCCTGAAAAGGGGAGAAAGCATATATTTTATTCCTGCGAAATGGTCTCCAGAAAATCTTAGCTTCTGCTACCGCTGCTAAGAAATGCAATCTTGATGCTGTCGATTTTTCTTGGAGGGACAGACTTTAATTTACATTTTGAAGACACTTGCATATAGCACTCAAGGACATTTTTGGATCAATTGTGCAAGCCTAGAGAAAACTAAAGTGCCTCAGATGTGCATTCAGTTCTAGGGAGAAATGGTGTTATTTTCATCATGAGGGACCCTGGCCCTGTGTCTTCAGACTGAAAGACACTGAGGCTCACCAGGAGAGCTCCAGGGCCAAGGCCCTCACCAGAGAAGGAGGTGACACTGAGCTTGGCAGAGCCAGGCCTGTCTCCTGCTGTGACAGTGGTGTTGACTCACAGCTCATGGTTGAGGATTGTATTTGAAAAGATTGCAACTGCTGTAAAATATATACACATATACATATATGCATATGTGTGCATATGCAGAGGGAGAGAGAGAGAGAATTCTAATCCTCCCTCTCATTATACTGAGGCTAGATGTTGATGTCCTCAACATTTTTCATTCTGATATTTTTCCAAAATATCAGTTCCATGTTAACATAGGACGTAAAGTACCATGAGCCACCCCAAATGTTATGTTTGGCCAGAAACAAAAAAGAAAATTCTTTCTGCATTCCATTTTAAAATGAGTCACGTGATTGATGTTCTTTCTTTCTGCTACTTTCATAGTTGGCATAAGCAAGGTGGTGCTTCATGACGGAGACTTTGTAATGTGTCTTTTTCTCCAATGTCTCACTCGTGAGGCTATCTAGGTTATACTATTAGAACTTTGTTCTTTTCTGTACCTACTTTTTTTCACAGTGATCCTATCAATTGGGTTCGTGCATAGAAATAAAAACCAGAATGTTGAGGAAAACATTCTGCCAGAGGGCATCATTTTCACGTCCATTTCTTGAAAGCCTGTCTTGGTGGACACTGAACCGCCCCAGGAAGAACTGGTTCCACATAAGTGCATCTGGTGGTCATGGACAACAGCAATTTGATCACATGGCAGTGGGAAGACAGGCCATTAATCAATAATTAATTGCTGCTATTCCTGCTGTTGCACCAGTACCTGAAGAGGACCTACTATGTGATAAGTATTATTCTAAGTACTTTATAGTTATTAATTTTTAATTCTCAAGCTTTGAGGCATGCTTTGTTTTATAAAATCACAGAGATGTCATGTCATTTTCCTAAGGCCAAAATGTGAATAGGAATACCATACTACATGGTCTTAGTCCAGGACTCAGGCTCCCAACTGCTCATCTGCCTCCTTTCTTTTGGAAGAAGAGTGGGCTTTGAAAATTCTTTAGGACTTGGAGCATGAATAGTCAGGAACAATGGAGTAGAAAAGGGGGCACCACAGCAGAAAGCCCAAGATCAGAGGAAAGAGCAGAGATGGTTGAGGAGAAAAGACTGGAGAGCTAGTCTAGAATCAGAGAGCTGGAGACAGCTTGCTTATGAGCTTAGCTTGGGACTCAGAAACACCTGTGTCAAAATGTTGGCTGTTATCACTGTGAGGCTGAAAAGCACTGGGAAATTTATTGAACTCCTCTGAGCCTCATGTTCTTCACGTCTAAAATAGGAATAAGAATAACTCACCTCACTGCATGATTGCATGGATTAAATACCAGAATGCTCACAAAGTGTTCAGCAAAAGCCTGGCCTTGTAAATACTCAGAAATAGTACCAACTGTTATTTTATTCTCTTCTGATTACTCAGTCTTAAAAAAATCAGACTCATTAAGTCTGATTTTGTTGCAAAGATTTCTTGAGGAAGCTGCTGTACAGTGTATTATAGAGGAAGGATGACATCGGTCAACACCTTTGACTGCATCCAGTTTCTTCTTACTTTGAAAACAGATCTCTCGAGTGGCCGATGCCACTTGACACACCCTTGATCTACTTGGTTCTCAATGAAGTTGATGTGACTTATGGCCAAATAAATCCAAGAGAGCTCCAAATATTCTAATTAAATCCAGTGCCAAAGTCAGGAAGGAACTTCTTTCAGCCCAGACCTGAAGGCATGGGAGCCCCATGTCTCCTCAGATGGTTCTAATCAAAATGGAAACTATTCTTGCTTCATGTTTGATTTCATCCCCTGTTAAACATAACAGGTTTATTCACCCAGGCAGAGCATCACTTGGTAATGACTGAATAGAATTTAGGGAAAGCACAAACCATTTACAGAGGTAACCTCAATTCAGAGTTTACAACAACAAAGTGTTAAAAATAGTCTCATGATGCACCAAACTTGGAAGCGGAGGAGGCAAAAAAAGACCTGTGGATTAAAGTAGTTGAGAGGAAAACCCAATATTTAGAGTTAATTACCTAAAGCGTGACATCTACTGGACTTCCTTTCATAGAGAGCTGGGTTTTCCCCCTGAGTAAGATGGAGAAGTAAAAAAAAGAAAAAAAAAAGGAAAGAAAGTAAAATGGAAATTAAATTACTTACATGCATGGCTAGAATGCTTCTCGGGACTAATTCTCTGTATTGTCTAACGGTAAAGTGCCATGTTTTTATTCTCATGAGATCATCAAAGGTGAACTCCAAGATCAGTCTGCCTTCTGTACACACCTAGAAGCAACAAACAACACACTTGTTTGTTAAGTAGTTTGTGAAACCCACATTTTATAACTTCCTGTCTTTGGGTAGTGCTGGCTCCTGGCAAAAATAGGACACAAATGAGTTACCCATGGCACTTGGGGACAAGTGTTAGCTCTGTAATTGGTGGGTTCAAAAGACAACACAGATGCTTAAGAGTTGTGCTTAGTGATTTCTCCTAACTACTACTGAAAGTCTACTATGGGGACAAAACTCATCTTTTAAGGACATTGGGTCCAAACTAACTGGCACCAGTATGTTACCCAAAATGTTACTGTCTTATTTTTTATCATTCTTCCACATTCATCATCTTCTCACCATTGAGAGCTTGAGCTCTTGCTGTAACCTTGGTGCCCTACTCTGGGAGAAAACATCATATAGGATCATTCATGATTAAGTGTGCCTCACTACAAAACTACCCAATGGCAGGACATTTGAATTTCCAGTCACTGACACCGTGGAAAATAGAGGTAGCATATTGGCCCAGTTTAAATAGGTTCAATACATACTCAGGTTTCTCTTCTCATGGTATAACTTACAGATCTTTAAAAAAAAAGTCACCAGTCATTAATTAGCTCATATTTGCCTTGGGAAAGAGGTACAAAATAATGCATAGAGATTTTGATATCAGATGGTATTAAATTTCAATCCTGACTCTACTATTTTTTTTTGCAGTACTGGAGTTTGAACTTAGAGCTTTTGCTTGCTAGGCAGGTGCTCTACCACTTGAGTCATGTTCCCAGTCGTTTTTGCTTTTAGTTATTTTTCAGACAGGATATCACACTTTGGTCCAGGGCCAGTCTCAGGCCACAGCCCTCCTACCTCTGCTTCTCACATAGCTGAGGTTAAGACACAGGCTACCATTCCCAGCTTGCTTTTGAGATAGAGTATTGATAACTTTTTTGCCTGGTCTGACTTGAACTGTGACCCTCCTATCTCTCCTTCTCAGTAGCTGGGATTACAGGTATGAGCCACAATAGCCAGCCCTCTGTGTCTACTTTTTACTCATTCTGGAAGCTTAGGAAAATCGAATAAATACCCCCACGTTCCACATTTTTATCAATATAATAGGGAGAGCAATATTCTTAGGTAGGATTGTTGGAAAAATATATTAAAGGAAGTTATGTTTATAGATTACCAAGTATTGTGCCTGGCACATGTAGAATGACAGGAAATGATAGCTATACAGATAAAAAGAAACACAAGCAAAGAGAATGCAGAACTCTTGACCCGTGGTTGTCAAAATGCTCTTTCTGAGCTGTAGACGTTGATGAGAGGCATCTTAGGGACTGCACTGGGAGAACTAGACTCCTCATCTTCTAGATCCTATTCATTTTCTCTACCAGATCAGTTTCAGTTATATGATTATATCCACTTTATTACATTGAGCTTCTGATCAAAAAGGTTTCCTAGGCTAAACAAATATACAATATATTTACAAATATAGGAATATTAATTAATTAATACCAAATAGAGGATATGACTATTTCTAAAACTATAGTACAGGAAGACAGCTAACAATTCATATCATCTTTTTGTGAAATACTGATAATCACTTTCCTCTTCAAGAATTTAATCCAAAACACCACCATTTATTGAGTTCCAATGATGTGCTCAGCACTGGTTAGATGCTGTCCAGGCACTCTGAAGGAAGGAAATATTTCCTTCATACAATCCCAAAAACCAGCACAGGAAAATTACTAACAAGGGCTAATAGGACACTATTCATGAAACATACTGTGAACGTCTGCCATCTTTGTTTTATCAAAGATCTCGAAGACAATGTAAGATAATTATTGATAATCTGAGTGAAGACCTCTACCTCAGATCCAATTAGCAAAATCTGTGGGTAATTTTAGGGATGTGCCCCCATCCTCTAGAGTTAAGCTGTCTTTAGAGCCTCACGTCTGGCATCTAAGCAATGAAGAGTTGAGCCACGGAAATGGGGATGACTTCAATGTCCTCAAATGTCTCCCCTAAGAGCATACTAGAATTGGAACTAATTTACCAAGGTTTTCAAAAAGAGCTGCGTGGAGATTAAGCCACACAATCCCCCTCTGGGGTGTTAGCCCTGACAGAAGCCACCTGCAGTGCCAACTTCCTCAAAAGGGAGGTAGCTATAGCCAACCATCAGCAGTGAAATGTCTTGACAATACAGGACAGGAATATTTAGAAGCTATAAATTTTTTTAAGAGAGAATTTTTGGATATTTAAACAAATATTAGTTCAGTTAAATATCAGGGCTTTTAAAAAAAGAATTATTTGATCTATTTGGTTTGTGTTTATGAACCACAAACTGAGAGCAGGTGGAGATTCTGGTTTGCTTCTACTGGAATAGAATTACATAATGGCAGGCATGTATGTCGCCCTTCTGATAAATTACTCAATTGGAGCATATGTAAGGTCAAGTTCAATTGTGTTCTTTGTTCACTGTGACACAGCAAGACAGTTGGGGACCTCTCTTGCACTCAAACTGTCATGGGCCTACAAAATGGAAAATTGCCTTAAATCTTGAACTCCTTTTCTTAGTCAAAACCAAGGAATCAGCTTTATCCAGGACATAATATGTACAACATGGAAATCCCTAGAATTGGATCTATGTTGACTACATTGGGTGTTGTTTTGCTTTTCTGTCTTTTTAAGGAAAATGACTTTCTTGAATGAAAGCATGGAGGAGAATTTTCCAAGTAATTCCACCCACGGCTTCATCTCAGGCCGTAAGCAGCCCCCGTGCTCCCATAATGGAAGTTAAATGAAACCAAAGGCTTTGTGATTTGTTTTATATGCAACAATCAAGAAATGGAACAGAGGCACATATGAAAAAATATATTCATTCTTTGTTCAAAAATGGTAAAAAAAAATAAGCACAGTTTTTAAAGTGGAACTAATATCTTTTTTCTTCCAAAAAAATTCCATGCATTCCTTTTAATCAATACAATTAATGTAGCTTTTATCTAAAGTTGGCCTTTTTTTTTTTAAAGCTGCCTTTCCCTTGGAATCCAAAATCAAAAGGGTCCCCAATTAAGAAAACATTTTCTGTTGTGCTGAATTCATGTTACCGTACTGTGAGCTCTGACATTTTGTTTCTGTGGTAACCAAAATCAGCTGATTAGTTGGCATGGCAACAGAAAAGATGTAATCCCAGCAGACACACTCTAATCAATGCCCCCAGCACAGATGGTCTCCAGAGGATCAACAAGAAAGAGGCTGGCAGGCATTCAGCAGGTCACGTGCTAGCTTGAGACTAGGCCAGGAACAAGAGAACTAAAAAAGAACATTTCTCAAAACTAACCAGTAGCTTTTTAACCCTTTTCTTTCTTTGACTAATTGTAAAGTAACGCAGACCATGTCGTTATAGAATGTAATGACTCTCATATAGATTTGTATGAAACAAATAGGTAATAGTATTTATTTAATTTTCTTGGTCTTTATGTTTGAACAGCATGCATGGATGAATACTTTTAGATTAACAGTTGTAAAAAAGCTCTTTGTACTTTACCTAGAGAAATTGTGTCTATAAATGCATATTAAGCCATGTAGTCTTTGACATTACAATTTATTGAGAATCAGAAGAATAGGAATTCTGGAATATAATGTGGTATACAGGTGAAGGCAAGAATGAAGAACTAACCATTAATACAAGTGAGTAGTCACATAGAAAAACTGGTTGGTGTACTTACTGTTTTTTAGCAAAGTAAATAATGTCATAGTAAGTAATTGAGAACAGAAAAAACCAACATAAATCTGTATTTACAAGGGTGACGAAGACTTCCAGTAGTGGTTGCAACTATTGCTTCAATGTGCAAAACCTAAACTGAGTTCCAAGAATGTAGCCTACACAGGGTCCCTTTCAGCATCTGCCACTGTTCACATCCTCAAGTATAAATATAACTCTGGGGACTTTCATTCTGAAAGGCTTGACATGAGCTGTTCTGATTATTAAGCCTTATTTTCTATTTGGTTCAAAATTGAAAACATAAAAGAGAGGTTTTATAATGTGCATTTAAAAATTCTAATTACATATTTATCCATAATCTATAATGTTCCTGGTCACAGGAAATTGCAAAATTCTCACTGTACCCCTGAGGAATATTCAATATTACTGTTGATTAGGACTGCAGCTGATTTTTGATTCACTAGTTGACCAAATTTTCATAAAAGCAACTCAGAAGCAGTGGTCAAATGCTACTTGGGGAATGAGAGTTTATTGAGAGTCTAAATTAGAACAATGTGAGTCTGCCGAGACTTAACAGGCTAAGTAAAGCCAGGTACTAACAGCAAAACAACAAGCTTCAGCTTCCAAACCCTTTTCTTTCTGATAATGTTTATTCTAAATAACCATAGTATTTTATTACTCAAAGCTGAGTCATTTTTAATTAAGAACATAAGAAAAATTGGGAGAAAGGGAGAATTAATCCTGTAAAATTTCCTAAAAATAAATGTGCAGAGTGAGCATCTGAACTGAATCCCTACATCTAAGCTATATTTCCCAGAAAGTGACATTTTTCCAGCATGGTATTGGAATATTCACTACAGGAAGTGGGCAAACACACTGCCTGCTGCCATGGAGCAGTGTGAGTTGGGTGGGCCCAACAATTGATGCTTAAGGCCAAGGGAGATGCACTCAGGGCAGTCTGGGTCTTTCGGGTGATGGCCATCGATGCCTGAACAAACCGACATCTGGGAGAGAAGCATTCCAGGCAAAGAAAGAAAGCAATAGAGGAAAACTTTAGTTTCTTGATGGGAATGAAAATAGCACTTGATGGATTCCTCCGAAGAATGAGATTGCTTTTGATCTAAACCAAGTCTGCAGTGCTCAGCACTATACTTCAGAGCAACAGTGCTCATTTATGAAAAATTTTTGGCCTGAGAAAGGAAGAAATTGAGTAAACATATAAAAGGAATCGTTCAAAGTGCATTTTTATTTTCAATGGCTACAGATGTTAGGAGTAGCACCTTAATTATGGTAAAGCGTTATTTAATTGTCATGGATATTTTTTCTTAAAGTATAAGGTGGTGGTATGTTATATTTTTCTTAAATTGCCTAAGGAAACATTAAAGAGACAGAAAGAGAGAGAGAGAGAGAGAAAGAGAGAGAGAGAGAGAGAGAGAGAGAAAATGAAGCAGCAGTAAGAGGCTTTCTCTGCAGAACTCTGACTTTGCAACACTAGAAATGAATGGTTACATGTACATATGGCAATGTCATACAGAAACCCCCGTGCACAACTAATATATAGTAATTAAAATGTTAAATTAAAAAAGAAATGAGTGGGTTGTGTATCCATCTGGTCTGCAAGACTATGGAAATGTTTTGCACCTTCAGAATGAAGAAAGATATGCACAGGCTAAACCCCATTCCACTGGCCACTCCTTTCCACAAAGCAAAACTCTCTTCCCAGCGCAGACTTCGGCCTCCAAAGTGAAGCCAGTCTCTGAGTGATAGCCATTCTCTCTGCCCAATTTTTCAAACAGAAAAACCCCATCAGGTCCCATACTGAAAACGTTTACTGTCAAAATCAAAATACAGTAGAATGCATGGCACTGGATGATTCGCCCTAGTGTTTCATAACCGTTTTCCTTTGCCTTTGGTTTCATATACCAGCAAGGGCACTGAGAAAGATTAAATTGCACCAACATGATCAAAGAACTAAATCAGAAACTTTGTTTTTATTCTTGCAGCAAGACTGCCTAAGTGACAAACACACCTTCAGTTCTATAATTTGGGCTTTGGTAATTAATTCTGATAACTTCAATGTCTTTTAACTATAAAGAGTTGTCATGTGTGTTTTGTACTGAAAGAGATACATGCTATCATTAATATCACAAATTAGTTTCACATTGTTTTAGTCCAGATAAAACGAACTAGTGTTTGTTGAAATAAACTTCCACAGTACTGGGGATAAAGCTCATCGGTAAATTGTGTCCCTGGTATGCACGCAGGCCTGGATTGGCTCCTCCACACTGAGAACACAATTAATTAATTAATTAACTTATAAATAAATACAACAGAGTAAACCAAATTTTCATTTGCTAGATTCTTTAACTAAATATTTATTCTTCCTAACTTTTCTACCTGGGAAATGACGGGATCATCTGTAGTGTTTCAAAAAGGTCTTTTTAGTTTTTGTTTTATTTATTTTTTTATTGTCATGCTGGCTGGGAGTACATTGGGGCATTGACAAAGGTTCTTACAATGTATCAAGTATACCATATTTGATTTCCCCCTCTCCACTGCTCTCACCCCTTTCCGCTCCCCTGATTCCTGGAACAGTTTCAACAGGATCATATTTGCATTTCTATACATGTGAATACATTGTTTGTACCATATTCATCCTCCTACCCCTTTCTTAGCCACCCCCTCTCCCACCGGTACCAATTTGCCCCTCTTCCTCCCACCTCCTTCTTCTTGTTCTCTGATTTTGTAAAAGAAAAAACAAAAGATACGACGTTTTTGCTAGTTTGAAATACAGATAGTTTCCTTGTATTGCTTCTATGCATTGATTCACCTCTTCCAGTCCTCTTCACTCCTCCCTAGACCCCTTCCCATGGTAGCCCTTGCCAGTTTAAAATTTCTATACAGAGAAATTTTGTGCAGTGAGCACATCAACCACATTCAAGTTTTTGGTTTCCTTCCCTTGTCCTAACCCTCCCTCACACAGCCTCCCCTTAGTGTGACCCGTGTCCCAAAATATTGCTGCATTTGTTTTAGGTCCGCAATCTGCATATGAGGGAGAACATGTGGCTTTTGGCCTTCTGAGAATAAGATCTTTTTAAGATGAGACAATCCATATGTCAGTTTTTTTTACATGACAAGGATCACAGGTGTAAAATGTGTAGAGGATAAAGTTGAATCTTTATCTTCCATTTTTCATTTTACACCCTTCACAGGGCTTTGAATTCTGCCTCCAACATTGTCATCTGGTCCTTGCCTCCTGTTTTTCTTACTCACTCTTTTACAGCTGACTTATGTTTCTACCATGCTGACTAGCTGAGCTGCTTGTCTAAATACACTTACCAATCACAGAACTGAGAATTTGGGAAAACAACCTTCAAACTCTAGATTCCCTAATTTCATTCATCATGTTTTTAAATTTTCTTTTCAGATTACAGTTGAGTGGTGGTTAGTGGATTTACCCCGATTTGTTAAGATTTGAACTTAGCTTTAATTTTTTTAAAATAACAAAGCACAAATACTGACTGCACATAAAAATGTCCTTTCAGCCACAGAAGACCCTTTGTGCAAAAAATAAAGCCTCCAGCTTACCTAGTAAAGTTTAAGAAGCAGCTGAGCCTTTCTTTGTCTTAGATTTGAGCCTCTGACATGCTTGGTTTTCATACATACAATGTCACATGCATGCATCCTAGCACAACATTCACCAGACAAGTCTAGAGCAAAGTCACACACAAAAGAAGATCCTCTCATGAGCTGAAAGTATCAGAGAGATGAGAAGTCAGCTCAGAGTTCCAGAAGAAAACTATCATTATTATCCTTTAATTTACTTGGAAAAGAAAAAGTCAAGCATGTCCCCAAGTCTGCCCCATACCTTGGTAAACATGGGCTTTCCGTGCTGGGTGACCATGGCACACTGGTCACAGTCCACCGTGATTGATGAGTTGTGGTAGGACTCCTTCGAGTGTTTGAGGATGTAATACAGGTCAGTCACCCCTCCTTCAAACACAGTGCTAAAGTAACGGGGAATAAGGGTTCTGCCGATAGCTGGAAGACAAACACAGAGAAACAAACCATTAACAAAGTACCTGACCAGTTCCATGCACCCCACACCATCGCCAAACCTCCTATAGCTGGATACAAATCATCTCCAGACACCATTCCGGGAGGCAACTTCTCTTTCTAAACGGTTGTAGTCCTTCTGGATTGTGGCTAATTAAATAAAATCACCCACTCTTTGGGAAAAATGGGAACCTTCATCTCCCCAGGTTTTGAACTCAGGGCTTCATGCTTGCAGGTTTGAGCCATGCCTCCACCACCTTGTATATACTTTTAAGTCAACATAGTTACAAAAACATCCAACATACTTGGGTTTTTTTAATATATTATTTACAAATGAATTGCCTAATTCTATGTTTGTTTTTATTGTTAGTAGGAATTGAAACTTTATTCCATAATGGGTTGTAGTTTGTGTTCATATTTTCTCATTGGACCTTCAGAACAATCCCAGGAGAGTATAGGATTGACTCACAAAAGGATTATTACAGAAAAAAAATTATTATGAATGCTTCAAATTCATATGAGCTATAAATAGATTTTTGTGGTCTTTGACTCTATATCTGCAAACACCAGTGTGCCCACTCTTTCCCACACTGTGTCAACTGCCTTAAAGACTGGAGATCTCTAAGTAGGCCAACCCCTCATATGCAGAAACCATAACTATACAAATGCTGATTTCTCTATGTGGTTTGAGCTGGGTAAAATATCTCTCTAGAATAAAGGGCCCTGTTTCAGACAACTTGACCTCCACCACTTGGTCTAAATTAGTCTCTTTTATTCCATGTGTGCAGTGCTGTCCCACGTTAGTGCGAGTGACTGGGGGAGTAGCTGGGCCTCTCTGATAGATGATGCTTAGAAACCATGAGAAGCCCTGGCTTCAGCAGCAATTTGAAATCCTCTTACACTGGAAATCCCAACTCATAATATCAGGAATTTTGCCTATGTGCAGATTTTTAAGGCAAAGTCCTAAAAGCACTTTCAAGCAATCCAAGGTTTTTAATAAATCTCTTGCACTCACATTAAAATTCTCCCAAAAGACAAAAATAATATTTAAGATAAACTATCAAAGAGAGCTTTAACTAGGAAAGATCACCCAGTCGTCACCAGAATGTTTAAAAATATTTAATTTCATTTAAAAAGAATTAGTGTTAACCTATTCCATATGAATCTTTAGCTCTTTTGTACAAGGTCTTGGAAAAGAGTAAGTGTAAAGATAAAACTCTACCAAGCTGTTTTCTGAAGTGATCCTTACAGGATTCCTAAGTAGACACCAAGTCTCTGAATAATTTATGTAGTTGTTACTGCTTCATATTTGCTCCAGGTTAAATCAATCAACAAGTGTGCTAAATATTCCAGGATCTTTGGCAATTCCATCCCGAACAATTCTTTTCCTAAATACTGCCTAATCCGTAACACTTGCACACTTGTTCTCTGAACACAAAATTCAAATGAGAATGATTTGACATTCTTAAACATTTGTATAGCTAATATTATAAAGAAAACTTCGTAATTCTACAAACTTTATTGTACTTTGCTAAACAGATAAAATTAATTGAATGTATTTCAAATATTCTAACTTAAAGCAAATTACCATAAATCAGCTCAAGTAATTTGACAATTTGGGATCTGTACTGTTAAGAATAAACACAAACCATAAAAATGTAGTTTATGAGTGAAAATATTTCACTACAACATCCAAGGAATTGTCAGATTAAAAAAATTTATGGAAAATAACACCACTGGATTTGTCACATTGAAGTTTATTCATCATGTATCAGGAACAGTTTATTTGCTTTATAGCCTCTTAACCATATATTATCATAATTTTTATTCATAGTCTAAGAAAAGTTAGATGGAAAAAGTTGGAGTTTCCTTAACTTTAGACCTAAATTTTTAATTATTTCCTCAATTCCAGAAAACATACAAACTATATAGTAAATATATTTAGAGGGAAACACACAGCTTTGTTTCTTTGAACAATTTCTTGAACTGTAGGAAAAGCTCATTATGGACATTGAAGTTTGTTTTCAGTTCCATTTCTTTTATGGGACTGCGGTACCATTTTCGCCAAGTCTGATTTGGACCATTAGTCACAAAGCTCTCTTAGTCACTGTGGTAGGCTGCCAGCCTGGAGGCCCCGATGAACCATGGCAATGGTATTCATGCCTGGGATGCATAGTCTGCTGTACTTACATTGAACTTGGCCCTGTGATCTGCTTCAATTAATAGAATGTGGCACAACCACCTAAAGTCAGTTTTAGGGTGTGCCTTAAGAAGACCTGAAAGTGTCTGCTTTGTGCCTGGGAAGAGATGAGTTGCTATGTGTAAAGACCACTTACTCTAAAATTGCTGTACTATGAAAAGCTACATGAAGGAGAAGAGAGTCTTTCAGCCGATAATCCTGACTGAGCTCCCAACCACACCCAGAAGTAACTTTTGTGAATGAGGCCATCTTGGAAGTGAATCCTTGAGCTCCAACTGAGCTGCCTCAAGCTGATGTCACAAGAAGCAGAGATGAGCTGTGCCTGATAAGCTATTCCCAAATTGCAGAATCATGCATGAATAAAAGAAATATTTGCATTTTCAGAACCCTTCCCTGGAATAAACAGGGTGATCTTGCCATTGAAAACATGTGAATCAAGTACAGCAAAGAGACAGTCTGAGTGGACTGATTTGGGCCCTCATCTCAGATGTGAACGGAGCCAACTTCAGCCCTCTGAGGTTAAACTTATGGGAGATGTGCTGTCCTCCTTCTCCCTCTTGTTCTCATTTTGCTTCTTGAGCTACTTTGTGTTAGGACTCAACCATTTGCAAACAGAGGAATCCTGCTCCAGTGTGGAATAGGGTAGAATGATGAAAATGATCAACTGTAAGAGATATCTGAGTCTGTCTGTGCAGCACACTGTGTTGAAAGATAAAAAAGGGTGTCAGAGACTGGATTAGTTTCCTAATGCTGCTAAATAAGTGACCACAAACTTAGTGGCTGGGAACAACACAAATGTATTGTCTTATAGGTCCAACTCTCACGCACGAGTCTTGCTGGGTAATAATCAGTGTCTGTAGGCTTGACTTCCTTTCTGGAGATTCTAGGGAAGAATCAGTTTTCTTATTTTTTTCCAGCATCTAGAGGCTGCTCACATTCCTTGTTTGTGGCCTTATCCCATCTTCAAACTCAGCTGTGATTTGTGGGGGCCTTATAGGGCATCTCTCTTACTTCCTCTTTTACCTCTCTCTTCTACTTTTGGGGCCCTTATGATTGCACTGGATCCACCAAAACAATCCATGGTAATATCCCATCTCAAGGTCCTTAACTTAATCAGATCTGCAAAGATTCTTTGGCAATGTGAGGTAGAATTCATAGACTCTAAGTTAAGACATTTATATCTCTGGGGGGAGCATTATTCTATTTGCAATAGAGATCATATTGGCCAAGAGTTTCTATTCTACAAGGAAGATGATAAAAAAAAAACATAATTGACACACAGAGGCGCACACACGAAATGTGATATATAAAGTGTGCAGTGAACGGGACAGAAAACCAGAGCAAAGTGTGTGTGCTTGAGGAAGTCAGCCTATTGCTCAAGCAATGGTTTCTTCCACAAACATTTACTGAGCCTATGTTAAGCGTAAAGCTCCATGGTAGGCACTGAAAATGCGAAGACAGACTTTGGTCCCTGTCTTTCAAATGCGTTTGTATCAGGAGAGTTAACAAGTATCTAACATCAGTAGCACAATTCATGTTCAAAAAACGATTTGGGATTTTGAACTCTTTGCTAAGGTCTTCTGAATTCTGGGTTCAATGTACAATTTCATTATTGTTGAAGCACTAAGATTAGCAGATTCTTCTAATGTAGTAAACTATGCAACCACACAGCACAGTCTAATATAAACAACTTAAAAAAATCTGGAAACATCCCAGATTTGGATTCAGTGATCTCCTAACTCATCAGGCACATGAGTTTTGAATCTATTTAGATTCACATGCATATGCTAAACTTACCCTTTACATCTATACTTTAATCTCTGGAATTAAAATAATTTAAATGTCGATATACATAAATCTACATACTTCTTTGATGAAAAGAATTATATCTTCAAATATTCTTGAAACGAGATTAAGATCGTAGTAGATTATAAAAGAGATTTCATTTATCTAACACATTTATGGTCAAGTCCCCAGAGTTGAGAAATATGGAGAGTCCAGTAGCATGGAAAGGTTTTCTGTTACGGTAGGCCAGGGGAATAAATATACTATTTATCTATGTGTTCATGAAAGAGAAAATGAGACTCATATATTAAATTATTCAGGGGCTGAAATGTCTGTAAAGAATGTATAAATACTATCCTGCCTAGTAGGAAAATATAATTAGTCAAGAAATAGCTAAACATTCATTCATAGCTGGTTTGGAGGAACGTTTTCATTGTTGTTCCCTTTTGTCACCACCTATCCCCTGCTCCTGGAAGCTCTTGGTATTGGAGCTGGTAATCTGGTAGTATGTGGAAGCAGGACGTGCTTTTGTCTGTGTGTAGGCATTACTTGTAGGTATAAAGATACCTACAGGATGCTCAGATATATAGGCTGAAAACAGTTAGAAGCCAAATGGTTTAATAGTGGACTCATTGGGACAAATAACCTACTGTGTGTCATCTCCAAAACAGAAGGTTAACTTTCTAGAGCATTTTATCTCTACTAGTAATTTTGAAATGCTTTTCTTAAACTCTTAAAGATGTGTATAGTGAAGTTACATGAGAAAATTGCACCCAGAAATAGCCACATGGAAAAATATTCAAACTGTTAATCAAATCCAAAACTAAAATAAAAATAAAAACAACAAAACACACACCTTGTGAAGCTGTAGTGAAACAGGCATATGCAAACACTTTTAGAAAAATCAGTGTAGCAATTATTCTTTATCTTCAGAATCTCCAATTCTTTCAAAGCCCACTAGGTGTACTATAAACTCTTGGCACATCCTCCCCTAAACTGC